AATAGAACAGGGAGACCAGCCCCTTTTCTCAAGGATTTGGCATCTAGGATGAGTACAACAGACATACCACCCACTTTTAGCAACTTACACAGATTAAGGAGGTATGGCAGTCTGAGCTACTCTGAAAACTGAATTAGCATTTAATGATCAGTGAGTATTGTCAATCTCACTATGATGAATTTATCTTACATTTGCACATATGAAAGGATTTTATGTATAGTTAGTTATAGCAAAAGGAACGAAAATAACAGAATTGACTATCCTTATGGGTTAGATTAAACAGCAAGGAGTGAATGACAGTAACAAGGGAGGGTGTGATAATGTGCTGAGAGGTCAGAGCTCTTGCACCTCTTCATTTTCCCCTCTTTCTCGTTTGCTTTAAACTATTCTGTTTCCTAAAAGAACCACCGGTCCTTTCAGGACTAATTTGGGAAAGCATATCAAAATAAAAATGAAAGGCTTTGACCTCACTGAGCTGGGGAGCTGATGTGGATTGCATATAGTCTTCAGGTTCTTCCAAATGGATCCCTTGGGGAAGTCTCACGAGCTTGCACCTGACTGATTCATAATTATGATCATACTTTAAAGACAGAGGGGAAAGCATTGATCAGTTGGTGAAGCCGGAATTTATGAGATAAAATAATGGTGGAGGGGGGTGAGAGGTGATGGCAGATGCCTCGTTCTTTGAAAGAAATCACTTTCAAATACAATTTAGGGAAACTCGGTTCCAGGCAAAGAACTGCTGCATTGTGTTAAAAACAAATCTCGTTGTAAAATGAGTTTCTGAAAGACCACATCTTTCCAAGTTAAAATATGGATTTCCTCATTTTAAAGTCAAGCTATCACAAACTATTCTCATGAAAGAGCAGATGAAGATAGTCATAAACTCTTAGCCTCACCCTTAAACAGGGCTTCAGAATAAACAAACCTTTGAGAAGGGTCTTGGTAGAGCCCTCTATTTCTCAGGTTCTTTGCTTTCCTGTAACCACTCTGTTCATTCTATGATCATAGAGGATATGACACTTGGATGAAGGGTGAGGGGTCTACCCTTTGTACTCAGTGTGATGTTGGGGTTAGTATGACAAATGAAAGAAAATGAGAGAAATCAAGAGAAGAAAACATGGAGACTTGAAAATGGCAACATTCCCCTTGTCTGGAGAAGTGTGTCCTACACTCTCAGCAGCTTAGAGATGCTGGACTCTCAGGAAGTGAAGTCTAGATGTCAGCAGACAGCAGACAGAGCCATTTCTGGGCGTCAGGGCATGAAATATGGTATGAACCAACCCTGCCTCAGCACACAGCACCCTGTCTTTCATTATTGTCATATCCCACTACCTGGTCACCATGTCAAAGACCCAGAATGTGCACCTGGTCACCATGTCAAAGACCCAGAATGTACACCTGGTCACCTCATCTCAGACCCAGAATGTACACCTGGTCACCACATCAAAGACCCAGAATGTGCACCTGGTCACCCCATCTAAGACCCAGAATGTGCACCTGGGAATTTTATACTCTGACCTGCTGTCTCCTACAGGAAACATGTTCTTGTAAAACTGAAACAGTATAGCATATGCACGCACGCACGCACAGGTGTGTGTGTGTGTGTGTGTGTGTGTGTGTGTTTTATCACTTTGTCCTTCTCCACACCACAAGAGCTTTTAAGAAAATGCTTCCTTAGTCAAAGGTGGTACAACAGGAAATATGAAACAGGCATTAATTCTCTACTTCTCTCAGTGCAGTTTGTAAAGGACAAAAAAAAGAGCAAATGATCCAGACATTTATCTACACACACACACACACACACACACACACACACACACACACACACACACAAGCAAACCATACAACAATGTTTTTTATTCCATGGAGCTAAGTGGTACAATTTTTACAGAGCTGGAGGAGATTTTAAAAGGGTAAAATTTACATTAAATACATAAAAATATCACTTAAACTTAAGACTTATGTGATGGAATCTGTGCTGAGTGTTTCATATGTGTTATTATTTTTTAACTTTATAAGAACACTGCAAGATAAGTAGTATTTTCTTACCCTGAAAGGAGAATGCCCAGAGACTCTGAGAGCAAACCACTTTCCTCTCTCTTTATGTCAGTTGTTTCTTAGAGGTATTTTCATCAAAACCTCCAGGCAATCTAGATCTTAGGAAATTGTTTCTCTAATAAAATGTATGATGTTCTAAATCTCAGCCATCATTTGCAAGAATAAAAACCAATTGGTCCTCTAGAGAAGGATAAATAAACTATAGACATCTGAAAGCATATTTCACTGTTCTTTAAAAGCAAAACAAAACACGAAATTCTGTCACACACAAAGAAAAGTAGTGTTATAAGGGAAATATCTCTCTTTAAATGATTTTCCTTCAGATTTCATGAAAAGGGAAGGAAATGTGGAGATTAGTGTTTTTCATGATTGAAAAGAATGGCATATTTTCTGTTTGACAGGAAGACTATCCTAAGTAGACAGCTGGAGGGAAAAAAGACTGTTGTGGGTATGGTAATACAGATACTGTCACACAATTTGGAGTCAAGAGAAGTATTCAAGCCTGGTATACAGAGTGAGTTGCAGGATAGCCAGGACTGTCACACAGAGGAACCTTATCTTGAAAAAATAAAATAAAATAAAAAAGAACATTGCTTAAACATTTTCTTCACTTCATTTCTTGACAACTGTGAAATTTTGGACAGATTATCTAGCAATGCCTATGTATATGTAAAGTAGAGATAATAAAGTCTTTCTAAGCTTATTCATTTGTGATGAGATTCAAATTATATATAGAAACATATTTACATATATAATTACATATATGTAGTTACATAGATATATATAATCTGAATTATATATATATGTGTGTGTGTGTGTGTGTGTGTGTGTGTGTGTGTGTGTGTGTGTGTGTAGCAGTGAACACACACAGGAGTTTGGAGACAAGGTATTATTCAAATATAAGCTATCACACCTGTTACAAAGAAGAAAGTGCTATTCTAACAATTCTTTACTCATACAACCAATATTGTTAAGATGCTTAAGAGCACCAGGCACTGAACAGGGCATTGGGCACACAAATATGAACAAAATGATTGGACCACTGTAAGTAAACAACGATCCACCTAAAGCACAGATGAAGAAAGGGAGGCTTCAACAAGACAGAGCAAATGGTCCCCTGCTCTGCAAAGAGTCTGTCTCTGTAATAGTGTCCTGGATTCTTCTGGAGGACAGGGACACCAGATTGCTGGGTAGACAGGTTAGTTGCTACCTCTCAGGCATTCCCAAAGAACTTCTGCCATTAGCCAAACCATTCCTCACACTGCATTATACAATGTTTCTGAACTCCAAACGAGCATCTTTCACATCAAAATAAAGCCAAAAGCAAATAGCAATCTAGTAGTAAACCTAACAGTAAATACCACATCAGGTAATCTATTAAAATTAACAGTAAATACCACATCAGGGCCCAAGCCAGTGAGGTAGAGAAGAAAGTTAAGAATGATTTATGAACAAAATGTATAGATCCAGAATCCATGTTTTAGTGAATTTCTAGAAAGAAGCTTACAAGGATTTGATTGAACAGTCTAATAAAGCAGCTGTATCCCATTCCACTCTCATTCTAAGAAACTACAACTCACAACAAAATATTCTCCATTCAACTCTTGATTTTTCTTTTGGTTTCTTTTATTCATTTTACAAATAACAATTGAACACTTAGTACTTCCTAGACACCTAAGCCTATAAAGTCACCTTTGAGAACCTAAGTATATAACAATGAACAAAAAAGATATTATCTCTCAGTTTATTCCAATTATAGAAATATATATGTAAAAATATATAATGTCTGCTATTAATTTCCAAGGAGAAAAAAATAAAAAAGGAATATACCAGAAAAATGAGCTAAAATTTCAGACATAATGGCCAAAGAGGGCCTTCATAACATTTGAGTCTACTTGGGAAAGAAGTAGAGATGGAAACAATGCAGATGTGAAGGTGAACATTGTGGGCAGAAGGAACCACCTGGGCCAAGGTCCTGAGACGCAGATCATTATGGCCTCGGAAGATAGGCCAGAGGAGGCCACAGTTGACAAGGCAGTGATCTAAGAAATGTATATGAGAGACAGAGTCAGGAGGGTGAACATGATCCTTGGAGAAAAGAGGATATAGCTCCGAGGGTACGGGTTTTAGAAGAATCGGATGAGGGGTGCAGAAATGGATGAGCATTCTAATGGGGATGTCATCTGGAGCACCTAGGAGGAACGTGCAAGCTCAGGCTCAGAGGATAGTGGCCATGAAGATGGTGACTATTTTATTCTGTTGGCATCAGTCTCTAGTGTGGGAGGGTCTAGGGAGAAAAGAGGCTGAGGAGAGAGGAGGACGGCTCTCCCTCACACGGACACTAAGATATGAGCGGTGAGGGAAATGGAGACCGCTGAGCCTTCTGGACAGCAGTGATGTCAAGGGAGGACCAGTTTCGAGTGGGAGAGAAAGTAAATGGAGTTCCCAGAGAAGAGGCCAGAGGTATAACCAACGTTGCTGATGAGTTCAAAGAGCAGAGGGCCCAGGGGAAGAATTTCAGGGTTTAGAAAGAGGGGGGCACGGGAGCGTGAAACCTGTTCTCACCCTGTCAACTATCCACCTTCTCCCTGTGTGCAGTTCACTTGGACCTTTACTCTGTGGCCTTCCTTCTTCCTTCTTTTATTGTCATGCTTCCTCGGTTTATCCTAACGTTTCCTGTCTTGTTACATTATTCATTTTCTTCCCTGTTGCTTATGCCTCTGAGCCTTCTTCCTATCTTCCCTCTTAATTTTTTTTTCTAGCCACTTTTCTCATTTTCTTATTTAATAGCTTGTCCTTGATCATGGGAATCATTCACAGGGACGTTTGGTAGCAGGATATTTGGAGAGCCTCTAAAATTCCTCCAGGAGATGTCCTGCCAGTTGAGTCTTGGTTGGCAGCCTTGCATCTACAACACACAAAACTGACCCTTTCCTCACCTGGACTTTGACAGGTTCCATCCAGTGCTCCAAAGTGTCAGCAGTCACATTCTCCGGTAGCGTCACAGGATCACTAGGGGGGACGACACATGACGGGTAACACACTGCACCTGAAGGAATGGAAATTTATAGCAGAGACATGGACTTCCCAGATCACACTCTTTTTCAATGCTTGTTTAATTTACACTAAGTAGTCTACACTAGAAACTATAACACCATGGTAGTTATAGGCAGGGCTGCCTTCCACCTCTTGAGTACCTGTAGGGACACTGTTATGTAAGGTGATCAAGAACCACTGTGGCAAACTAACTCTCTCCCTCTCCCTTCCTCCATGTGCCACCTCTGCTGCCTGGTCCATTACATTCTCTCCTCAAGAATTGATATATCACTGAGTCATTCAACAATTAAATGATGAATTCTGGTTTAGCAGACAGCCACATCCCCAAATTAGGGCTCCAGCTAATCAAATTCTATATTGATTGATAGATGCCATTTAAGTATATTTAATATCATTCTGGTCTCCCAATAACATACTGATAGCACCTGTTACCTTGTAGCCTTAATAACTGGGGTTGAGGAAATGCAGATGTTATTATATTACCTCAGGGCCTAACCTATCCTGTCAGCTGGCATGCTGAAGGTCATTACATGCACAACCAAGAAACTTATTTGAGTAAAGGAGGAAATGGCCAAAATAAGAAGCAGAGATTTTGGTCTCTCGAAGGAAAATCTTGCTCTGTTTGTTTACATGGGAGACCCAAGTGCCTCCTCAAAGCCTAGTCAGATAAAACTCATTCTTGGGGTTCTCTTTCCTATAAATTATGTAGTCTCTAGCTTTCTTTTCATTTCTCATTGTCTATGTCTGTGTCTTTAGGCAAATAATATCTTTTTTTTTTAAGTTTTTTGAGAGAGGGTTTCTCTGTGTAGCTTTGTGCCTTTCCTGAACTCACTCTGTAGAACAGGCTGGCCTCGAACTCACAAAGATCCACCTGCCTCTGCCTCCCGAGTGCTGGGATTAAAGGCGTGCGACACCACCACCTGGCGGCAAATAATATCTTATTTTTAGAAGCCTATATATGTATAATATTTTACGTAGAAATCAGAAGTTTTGAGGGTGAGAATCTGATCATGAAACACTATTGAAGAGACATCTGAGATCACTGATAATCTATGTCTATTTGTACTATGATTAGCACAAGACATCATAGTACAATAATACTTGGAACATAGTGAAGGATCAATTCAGAAATGACTGAGGTTTCCAATTAATTCATATTATGCACATTTACATTAGATAGGTTAGACTCTTCTAAAAAATGTTCAAGCCTGTGTAATTCAGAACTTAGATGCAATCTCATAAGGTTTCACATTATAAATCTTTTCTGTGATGCATAGGGCCAATTTGGGCAAAGTTGAGTCAACCTTACTCTAAGTCAGCTCTGGTCACAAACAACTTTAACTGCAATTACTTGAATAAGTGCATGCCCACAGGCTCTGGAACCCAGTCCTCTGTAGAGAAAGACTGAAGAACAACAGGAGTGAGTACCATCTCAAATAACCCTTCCCACAACAGAGTAGGAGCCCAGTACCATGGGGTGGGATGCAGCTGTTCATTCCTTTTAGAGCTATAAATCCAGCCACAGACCCATGCACTCTGGGTCTCAAAGCAAAGGAGGTACCATGAGCAGGTGCCCCATGCTTACCAATCCCATGTCCCTGTCCACACTTGTACTCCACAGAATTCAGCTCTGAAGGGGGTGGCGGGCATTCCCCTTGCAGGTTTTCACACAACTTGAATTCCTGGGTCCATAGACCCTCTTTAGTGCAGATGATGGGAGTCTAGAATTTCAAAGATAAAGAACACCGCTATTGTTATTTTGTTAATTTCATTGTAAGGGGGAAAGTGGTTTGATTACTGACAATACCCTTTAACTGCTGGAACTTGGACTAAACAATGATTAAAATAATATGCAGAGTTCAAATGGCAAAAGAAGGTGGAGAAGGAAGAAGAGAAGAAAAAGAAGGAATGGAGGAAGGAATAAAGGAAGGATGAGTGAAACATCCAGGGACAACCCAAGAAAATGTCTTGCTGTTTCCATGTGAAGGAATCATGAACAATTTCCCCATTCATGAAACCTTTAACCATTGTATTCTCCTATAGCAATGAGAATATAATAAAGTACTGACCAGAGCCACATATTCTGTGCTATTTTGAGAAAATATCCACAGATGGTGTTGTTTTACACTGATTCGTGCACATAATCACACCAGTGTTGCTTGTGGCAAATACTGAATTTTTTTCAAGGTGGGTTTTATGTAGTGAAAGTAATTAATAATTTTCCTAAAGGTATGTTTTTGCCTCTCTACTGAAATGCACATATTATCACTGTTTTAATCCTATTTGAAGTCTGTTCCCTTTCTCCACATGTCTGCTGCCTGGTAAAACTCTTAGTTCACCACGGCCCCCACTACCATTAATCAATGTATACTCTACCTGGATGGAACACAGAGAAAATTAATACCTATAAACCCCAAGGGGAGAAATACAGATCTATCAATAATTCTGCCTTTGTCAGGCAAACTCCATGCTTTCTTAACTAGCCAGTTCACACAGGCACATCTGATGTCTTCAGACCTCATTTTGTGGCCTATTCTTCTCACATCTGTTCTGCCCTATTACCTTGTGTTAAAGTCATGCCAAGGGAGCAGTGAAGGCCATTGATCTTTGCCTCCAAAGTCTACTCGACTTCCTGTCTCATGTATGTGTCTGTGATACTTGAAAAGTGTCTAAAACAAAACTGTGTTTAGTCATACAACCATGATAAGACTGTGGTTTTCAGTTCAGACTTGTGCCAGAATCCTGGGGAGGGTAATAGTCCAACAACACTTTAATAAGCTTTGCTGAACAACTTGTGTTTTTGTTTGGGACTTCGTTCTGCTATAAAAGAAATCACAACTCCTGCATTCCTGCTCATTAGGTCAATGCACTCATGAGAGCTGACTGCATTGCCAAATCAGGATCTGAGACGAGCTTGAAATGTACCCCGGTACCCAGTACCCTTCTCACTAGTTTCTTCTCCTCATCTCAAAGAAAATTGAATTTGGAAGGGAATGCTCTAAAACATTAACTCCCTATGGAATAATCTCAGTGCCTCTCATTAGAAGCCAGCTGCGTAAGGACCTGCCTGCTAGATTTCTTTCTGTTTACTTCTTCCCAGCATTCATGTCATGGCCATGATCATGCAGCTGAGAGCACACAGTCTCATCCCAATGAAGTTCACAAGGTCTACCTTACCCTTTCCATTTCCTGGTTACAGTTGAGCACACATTGGCTGTCCAACTTGAAGCCATCTGTACATTCATACATGCCTTCAAACACAGGAGAAGGAGGCTCACACACCACGGGGATGCAGCTCCTTTGTTCCCAGGTTCCATCATCCAGGCATTGTATCTTCAGGAACTTACTAATGAGACATGGAACCAAACAGGCCATCAGAGAAGACAGGATCCTCAGAAACATATGATAAAAATTAGCAAAGGAGGCCAGTGACAGCATAGCTCAGGGGGTAAAGGTGCCAAGCCTGACTTGAATGCCTGGAACATACATGGTGGAAGGAGAGAACTGACCCCCACACATGCCATGTCATATGTACAGGACAATACACACAGACACATACACATACATGAAATAAAAAGGGCAGGACAATTGGTTCTATTTAGCCAAATGTCCCATTGTGGGTTATTAAATTAAAGCTAGTGGTGTTTATAGATTAACAGTGGTAGGAGGTCTTGTATGTTTGACTTACTACTCCCAAGAGAGTTGATAAATAGCATAGCAACTAGACTATTTATGGGCAAAGTCTCATGTCTAAGCCCCATGAGAGATACCATCTACTTCAGAGTACAGCAGAGTTGTCATACACTCCGGGGATGAATCAGATATAACTTGAAGATCACCTGTTCTGTAGTGATATGTTTGCTGAATTTGTTGGTACTCATTGCTTCCTTGAGGAAACAGAGTTCAGCAATGCACTGTTCTAAAACAGAGATTCACCTGACCTTCAAAGGACAGTCTCTTCCCTGAGATCACTACAGCTGCTTTGTTTGTTTACAAGTTCATTTTTCCTTGGAATGGGTTCATACCTTTCATCAAATCCATGAGCAGATATGACTCAATACTGTCCTGGAAGAACTGCCCCTCCATCTCATGCCCAGACATGGCCCCTGACCAGAGCCTGTGCTTGAGATGGACAGGAATCAAAGCACCAGAGTTCTTGTTACTGCAGATTCCATTCCACTCCCCTCTGACTCACTACAATCAGAAGGTGCTTTCCAGCTTGGCTGGTTCAGCATACCCACTTCTGATTCACAAAACTCATGGTTACAGATAAGCTTGTAATTCAAAATAGAAATAATCCTTTGGCCCCTGGCTCTCTCCACTGTGTAGATGGTGGCTTTAAATTACCATCAGCTTTCTTTCTTTTATGATTGTGTGTGTGTGTGTGTGTGTGTGTGTGTGTGTGTGTGTGTGTGTGTGTGTGTGATGAGTATGTTTTGAGACAGGGTCTCATGTAATCCAAGCTGGCCTTTGAGCATCTGAGGGTGACCCTGAACTCCTGGGTCATCTTACCAACACTTCCCAACTGCCTGGGGTTACAGGCTTGCGCTACATGCCCAGAACATTAAAATGACATTCTCTAATGACATGATGTCACTTTAATATTAAGATATGTGCACCATTTCGTGCATTTCGTGTATTCTTTTAACCAATAATCATAAAGTGCCTTCTGTGTGCTTGCAATATTCTTCCATTTTCTATCAGAGAAACATGGATCACCCTGGTATATGCAAAAATCAGTTTTCCCCACTGGGTTGGAAATGTACAGAAGGCAACAGTTATGTCATTTTCTTGTTTTCAGTTTTTAGGAAGCAGTATTTAGCCTATATTTGGAACTAAATAAATACTTGATTTTTAAATTACTGAGTTGCAATGAACAACAGCAGTGACATTGCAAGACATATAACAAATCAACTAACTTATCTTAACTCTCAGAATAAAATTGTGCTTTTATCCCCCACTTTATAGATAAAGGGACACACAGTGATGTCAAGCTCCTGTCCCAGGATCTTACGTCAAAGGATGCACTTGCTTTCAAACAATTTGAATAATGTATTTTAATGCTATCTCCTTAGAAGGTTGCATTCTGCACAAGGATCTTACTAGCACAGGTTAGCTGTGTTCCTTGTGGAACTCTATGCAAATGAAAGAGCATGCTATGTATTATTTAATCCACGGATTCTTCCCCACAAACACGCTACTTAAAGATGGCTTCCAAAATTGTTTTCTAGCAAAGTGTTTGCTTTTCATTTTACTGTAATGAGGCTCCTTTGAAATCTGCCTTAAGTTCAGTGTTTTACTCTTCCTTTGCTCTGTAGATTTTAAATCCCCCAGTGGATTTCTCCCCTCCCTTCCACAGTTGAGACCCTTTCCATAGCTCTGGTGAACTGACATTTCCCAAATGGAGAGATCCAGCAACATCACTGACACCAGGGAGGTAAAGCTGTACAATCCTTGCCTGTCAGCATGGTTGCAAAGGAAAACCCTTGCTTGGCCAGGATGATAATATTTTTACTTCATGTGGTATTTTTCTCTGAATTGGTTGAAATACTTCGGCCATGGAAACAGTCTCCCCTTCCCTTGCCCAGAGTGAGGAATCATTCAAGAATGTAGAGTTCATGTGTTTCCTTGCCAGTTTAATAACCTCAGAGGTGAGAGCAGACAGATTCAACTTGGATTGGGAAGAGTGAGTTGGGGTGTTTGGGGTTGTAGCCTTACACTGTAACAGAACCTGTACTGCAAATCAGCATCAATAAGAGATGGGGGCTGATGTATAGGAGCAAGAGAAGAAGCACAGTAGAGAGTGAGGTCGCTGGACTGGGCATGCCTGAGCGGAGGCTGGGAGCATCCTCGTTTCCTAGGCAACTGGGGTCCTTTCCTAACAGTCCTTTCCTACACTTCTCCTGGTCTTGTGAATTCTCCTTCCATGTGTTTCTTTTCCTTTGGAAAGCAGATGATTTTACATGGCTGTATTTATTCCTTTTCTCATTGCTGTGACCAAGCATCTGACAAAGAGAAACCTAAAAGAGAAAGAATCTGACTCCCAGTTCAAAGGAATATAGTCTGTCATGGCAGGGAAGGTGTGGACATGGGACCAACACTGTTCATGGCACATACATTGCCAAAGATCAGTAAGTAGAGGAATGCAATGCTGCTGGCTTTTTCTTTTCCTCTTTCTCTTCAATCCCAGTCTCCATCCCATGGGATGGTGCCATTCACATCAAGGAGTGTTTTTCCCTCAGCCCTTTCCTCAGTTAAACTTCTCTGGAAATACGCATAGATATTTGCAAAGCTGTGCCTCATGAATGCCTTATGTGTTTCTTTTTTTTTTCATTTGTATCTTTGAGGTATATTTATTCCTAAGTTGACAGGTGGTTTCAGTATTTTTTTGAAGTTTATAAAGTTTTATTATTTTCTTGATTATGACAAAGTTTTATTTTATTTTTTATTATTTTTTAAATTTTATAATTAATTTAATTTTACATATCAGCTATGGATTCCCCTGTCCTCCTTCCTCCTGCTCCCTCCTCCCTCCTCCCAATCCATCTCCCATTCCCACCTCCTCCAGGGCAAGGACTCCCCTGGGTATTCAGCTCAGCCTGGTAGATTCAGTCCAGGTAGGTCCAGTCCCAGCCTCCCTTCACCCAGGCTGAGCAAAGTGTCCCAGCATAGGCCCCAGGCTCCAAAAAGCCAACTCATGCACTAAGGACAGGTCCCGGTCCCACTGCCTGGAGGCCTCCCAAACAGTTCAAGCTCATTGACTGTCTCACTTATCCAGAGGGCCTGATCCAGTTCCATGGGGCTCCTCAGCTATTGGTTCATAGTTCATGAGTTTCTTAATCCAACCAAGTAGACCACAGAAGTGAACCATTACAACAACCATCTCCTGGGTTTTTGTTTGTTTGTTTTTCAGGTCCTGTACCTCTACACCAGATGATACTGTTTATACCTCACCTTCAGACTACTTTCAGAGCATTGAACAGGTTCTCCTGTACCCAGTAGTGTGGGGGTGCTTCGATCTGCTGACCATGCTTATGTGTGGACTCACAGTTAATGGCCTGAGTCTTCACAGTCATGGTAAGGAGCTTGTGTGCCATGGGACTCTTCTGGCCATTTGCTACATTCCAAAGACACCATGATTATATCAGAAAATAAGAATGCCTTGGATTAGTTCTAGTTCCGTGAAACTTGGCTTCTTTCTAAGGCCTTTCTGAGGGAGACTGAAGCTTAAAACATTCCACCTACTCTACTTTATTCAGTTACTATTGTGGACAAAAATGATTGTTCCTTCTCCGACTCCCCAGTTTGAAGTAAAATTTTAATCCTCATTGTGATTGTGTTAGGAGGGAAGATATTGGAGGGATAATTAAGTCATAAGATGGTACCCTCATGATGGGACTAGTGCCTTTAGATAAAGGGGCACAAAAGCTTGCCTGCCTTGTCTACACTCTTTTCTATGAGGACACAGCAGAAAGGAGAGCATTTGCACACTGGGAAGCATGTTTTCAGAGAAGACATCTACCAATGTTCTCATCAAGAACTGGGAGGCATGAATGCCAGTTATTTGAGCCACTCAGTCTACAGTACTATTACTGCAATTCCCAAGACTGAGGCATATCTGTAGCATGATCTGGATCTCCCACTTGTGATAGCTGCTGCTGAGTATCTCCTGATTTGGGGATGTCTCAGACTGACCTCTCACTCTTATAGGATTATTCCTGAAAAAAAAATAGCTTTATTCCTAATGGCCCACTTCCTTCAGACAGTATGTGTAAACCAGGAACCAAGAAACTCTTTGAAGTCATGGTATGAATGGATTTGCATTTCAAGGAATAATGGCAGTAGACATTGAACTAAACCATACAGACAGATGCTTCCCAAGACATAGTACAAGGCTTCTTTGAAAGCTCATTCCACTTCCTTTTGCATAACACATTCTTCTCAAATCTATCCACTCTGTTTTTTCTTCATCACAGTGGGTTAAAGAAGGTAAAGGTGTTGCCTTTTATAGGAAACTAATACTAGTGACCAAGTAGATGACTTTCACAATATCATATAATAAAGAAGTTACCCACTAAAGCCAGAGTAGATCCTGAAGTTTTCAAGATAGAATACAACACCCCGACCATTGAACAAATGGGTTTCAGATGAAATTTGTAGAGCAACTTATCACAATCAAGTAAGAGTTCTTTTGAAAACCTAGATTATCCAGCCTACTGAACCAAATCTCCTGGCCTAAGACATCATCTTCCTTCTCTCTCTGCTTTCCCTCTTTGCTTCTGTTCCTTTGTTCCTACAGTGCTTTGGATCAAACCTGGAGCCTTCTGTATGTTAAGCAATTACTCT